TGTCTAGAAACTCACCAGGCTCGAGGTACCTTGTGGGCAGACTCCAAGCCCCAAAGCTTAAAGGCTCATTTTCAAGTTTAGTACGACGTTGATTGATAAGTTATCTAGTTCTTTTAAATCACAGCCATAGAGTACGAGACGTTAGGGCACTGCTCGCCAGTTACATCTATCTGATAGCAATGGACTGGAAGACGGCCCTAAAGCCTACATAATTCTAAGGCACATAAGGCTGGAGCCTCGAAGGGCGCCGTGCGATATTTTTCGACGATTGGTGTTGGCTTTAAATGGCCCTCGGTTTAAGCAGTAGGAGGAACTTGTGGCGAATAAAACACGGTTGATAGGTGGCTTATTGAACTGATAGCGAGCCGATCTGCAGATAATTGAAGTTGTCGTTTTTGCAGTCAAGTTTACATGCTCATGCATCTCATAGCCATTCTGGCACAGGGTAGACCGTAGTCCAGATTTTGTGTAAGTTTCGCCTTAGAGGAGCAGGCAGATTTAATTGTATAAACCAAGTATTATCTTCAGTTTTCGTAGGTACGTGTAAGATACACAAGTACTTTTTTGTAGGCGGTACACCTAGACAAAATTCTGCTTCCTGATACAATCGGAAACAAATATTGCTGACCATATACGCGGATGTGTAAAATTCGTTCGTAAAGCTGAGTATAACTACAACAGGATTTAGTTGTCGCTCCCTGAAATTCAAATAACGCCATGTGAGATTGGATACATAGAATAACCGGAATTACCATTAAATAAACCCAGAAAAATCTATTACAGCACCAGTTAGCCACACTAGGATGTAAGATAGCTGAAGCCACAACACAAGCAATAGTGTTTAAGTCTACTCAGACAGTTTTATTTCATTGAGAAGTTTGAATGAAGTTCTGTTAATTTCCGAAAGTTCAAGCAAGCTTCGTGAATATTTAAGAGGATCCTGTTGAATAATGGAGGCCTCAATCTCTCTTGCAACGTTAGCTAATTCCGAGATGATTTTATATACTGATATTTGAGACTTGGTTGAATGTATAAGTGCAAATAGTCTACCCTTAAGAAATGCAATCTCGCAGGTAGCGTTCCAACCAAGAGCAAATCCTTCTTTGTATGAAGCTTGCGCCAGCGACAGATTGAAATCAGATAGCCCGTCTCGCTGTCCAGATAAATTTGCCTCGTAAATCCGTCTATCCCATTCTCTTGAACCTAGAAGGAGGTCATCAGCATCGTTAGAGGCATGGTCAAAGACATCATCAAGCATCAAGATCTTCGAGTGTGGCGCCTCAAAATATGTTTTTGCATGTTTATAAACCACTAAATGTATTTAACTTTACTTTTTTCAATTAACGACTAATTGTATTTACATGTAGTGCTGCAATTTTTGCATAATTTTGGGCGCGCGTGTTTCGTACCTTCCATTTCCCAGATGTCTTCATATGTCCGTTCTTCTCTATTTGAATATATTAAGTCCCTTGATATTTTTATCCTTGATGGGCTCTATGGACACCCACCGACTTGTCTGGTCATATTTAGGTTTAATTTTTTTTAATGATATACTTATATCTAGAGAGCTGCCTGAATTAGCAAAGCATCTTGTGCTGCGTCTTCTCTTTATTGAACAGGCCATTCCAAAATCTATAGTTTCCAGTTGGGTTTCTAAAGAAGCCCAGCAATCTTTTACAGATTCATGCAAAGCATTAACGGATTTACGGATATGGCACAGTGTTGATAGTAATGTCACAAGGGGGTCCTGGAGACTAAACGAAAAATTTCAAGAGTTTATGAAAATTTCGCTCTTTGGAGGGTGTGTTTACAATATGAATCTTTTTATAGCTTAGTGGTAAGGCAATCTTAAGTGATATGGAATCCCATTCAATTGACAAACATTCTAAGGACAAAGAATTTTTGACGATTTACGCCGCTGAGCGTTGGGACGTATGTAATTAAGTTGTTTATTGCAGAATATACTCCATTTTATGGTTGGCTCTGACAGTGTAGAAATCGGAACTATCGTGAGAGATGTTATGAGTCTATCTGGACTTATGAGATTGTAAGAATTTTGTTACCATATTTTTAGTTCTGATACAGATATTGGAATAACGCAACAAGGCTTCCACTTTTTGCTCTTGGATCGCTCATCTCAAGTTTTGCGACTTATTTTGCATTACTTTGACTACGTCAGGGTTTGTGTGAATTATTTTCTTATTTTCAGGAGAATAAACTAAATCTTATCGAAGCAATACAGCTTGTGTTCCAGTTAAGTTTCCTGTCAACCGATCGGGTAACTTTGTATACTATATCTTATTTCGCATAATGTTATCTTGCCATTTTTCATGCAATGTTCCTTTGAACATTTTAAGGTATGCTTTATACTTTAATAGATGTTACCTCCCAGCCTATATGCTTTTAGATGTCGTTGAAATAAATTTTCGTGTATACAATGCTTCATCTTATTTTTATGATAATCATATTTTCCTAAATACTCTGCAACGTGCATCTCGTAGTGTCCTTTTCTTGATTCCTATTATTTAAGCCTTGTAATTATAGTTGAGATAATCACTAATAAGAGCATTTAACTTCTTGAATAACACTCTTCATACTGATTCAATGGAATAAAGAGGGATGTAGTCATCATAGGTGAACTTTACTTAGTACTTTAATATGTTTCTTTCCGGAACTGACTATTCTCGTTGATAGTGCCATCGAAAAGTTGTTGCATTTTTTTTTCTTTGACTACCCAAGAGAACAGATGACTGAAATGGCAGGAGACATAATGTGGGATAGGTTCTTTGATGCCTCACTGTGAGTTTGTCTAAACTGCTAAAGCATCCCAATTCATTCATGTTTATCTTGGTCTATTGTGATCGAATGGCTTTGTTTAGCAAGCAGAACTCCGAAATGGATCGTTCAATAATCACAAAGGAATCTCGTTGATAGCATATATATTAATTATTTTGTTACATAATTTAAATATTCAAAGTTGGACTCTAATGCCAGCCTATATGTCTTTTTTAATATTCGCCCTACACATTTAAAAGGTTTTTTTGTTAGAAGCCACTTTGCCTAAACAACTTTTGTTATCATTTACGTTAATCCGACCATTATATATGAAATGAATAGGCCTTATCATACCGGTGAAGTTCAATTAGCCTTATGTCCCAAAAGGTTCTCTTATCTAGGATGGACTTAATCCCAACTTCGCCTTAACCTCATTAGCACTCACAACCGGATCTGAATCCGGGTCATGTACGTTAGGTATCGATAAGCTACCACCTCGCCGTAGCCACTGGCGTCATCGGGTCGCAGGGTTTATGTGTCCTTCAAACTTATACTCAATGCGAGTATTTTTGAGAAAGTAATTATTGAATACTTTAAGGTTTTCAGAATAAACAGTTTGATACAGTAATTAATGTGTTCCTGAAATTTTTTGATATGCCACGGGTTAATCTGATATTTGAAGGTTAACGACTTACCATTTTTAATCGTAGCTACTAGGATGCTCCCAGTGGACAAATCGGCCTTCTATGTTTTCTATTAAGGGTAGTGCAAGTTCTTACTCATGCTTGTGCTAGTTAGCATTTGTGCTCATGCTTAATCACACTGACTATTACTTAAGGCTATTAAACATTTACCATTTGCACGAATTTTATTATTTTATCTGAAAGACGACTGATCCTTATATATGATCTGTAATCACAAAATGGGTTAGATTATCTCTAAAAAGACATCTTTTAGAAACGACGTACATGATTAAGCGGTACAAGCATTTTAAAGCATAAAACTCAATCATTTATTGGAGTTTTGTCTATATTCTTTTTTCCTACATTTTCCTCAGAAGTATTATTGTGTATAATGTTTTCTTTCCAGTTGAGCGAATTAATCACCACCAAAAAAGGCGATGAGTACTCTACATACTTTTTCATTATTTTCTATTTTAAAATAAGTTTCCTTAAATAATTTCTCCTTATTCAATCTTATTTAGGAGGGTTAAGCCACTACAAATCTATTCTGTCCTCTTTTATTATCCCTATAAACCTCTTCAAGCCATATAAATTTAGAGAATAGGAATTGAGTTAGCTAATCAAATCTACA